CGCTCTCTGCATGGCTTCCAAAATTTTGTTGTTCTCTTTACCGGCTTACTCCCGGTGGATCATTATCAAAGCCCAAATCCTCCCTGCCCAGCCCCAATTTAAACCACTTTATTAAACACGTTCGGCATGGCACGCGGATCCCGTGTTCGTCGCGATAGGGCTGATGTGGCTGGAGCTGTGTGGTTAGGGCGGACATGAAGCGCCGGTGAAAAAGCGAGGGCGCCAGAGGTCATTGCGTCCGCTTGTGTTTCGCCATGTGTGGCTCAGCTGTTGCTCTGAGGTGTGGTTACGTCGTGGATTCATCACCAGCGGAGAGATGTGATGGATGTGTGAGTTGTCAATACGATGAAACTGCTCCCTGGATCAGAGAGGACCTGCTACTTGGATCAAGATTAATTAAGCTATACCTTGTCATCTTCTGCCACACTTGCCGTCCAACCGTCGTCACATTTGCCTTTTTAAATTACACATAGCCTCCGCTTAGTATCGTGCAATGTCTTGCTCTCATGAGCCGAAATGCAGCCTGGACGGGTCCGCATTTGCTGTAGCCCATGAGTCTATCCAAAGCATGCATTGTTCTTTACCGGGCTTACCTCGTCACATACGTTCGGCTGTTAGATGCTCAGGTAAATTTGTTGGCGTGTTACGGTCTTTGGCGGCGGCCTCTTCATTTCATGCGGTCGTCCGTACCAGGAGTGGCGTGGCCTGTCTCATTTCTAATTGTTGGAGTCCAAGCTCAAAGTCAATCCAAGTCATCGCCTATCGAGATCGGTTGAGGTACCCAATCATGGCTATCAACGGTATTCGACTTCGATTCGCCACTTCACTGTTATGCCTATCTTACCTAGATTGCAGGCGATCTTTCGTACAGTTGCTGCAAGGACGTCAAACAATGAATTCGTACAACGACTAACGGGTGATTCATGTCTTGAAATGAGGACTCATTCCTCGTGTGGAGGTAGGAAAAGGTGCCTAGGTTGAGGACCGTAGTATCTCCTGACAGAATAGCGCATGCCCTTTTGGCTGTTATGCCTCGATACAGTGCCTCGATACAACACTTGCATCAACAGTGGTCGTTGGCTTTGGATGACTTGCTGAGAGGAAACGCTCTTATTGTGATCTGCCATTCTTGAGTGGCTGAACTCAATTCTGAATCCGGACATCAAACAATATGTTCTAATGGTTCCACCGCCTGTAAACATTTGGAGACTGGTGCTCATGAAGGGCTGCCCCAATTCTGCGGAAGAGTCTTTTGAAGCCTCATGTAAAGTATTGAGCCTTACAAAGTCATGTTTGGAAAGAGAAGTGGTGTTTCAATGCAGACACCTAGAGGGTCTAGTCACCTTTCCCCGCCATCCGTAATTTGAGCCAAGATATAGAAATCCTTCCTCCAATAGCACTCGCAATCAGATGCCTTGAGCTCAGACGTATGGTAAAACGTTATATTACTGTTAAATTTGCTGCAGGGCGTTAACTTACAAAGCCTCTCTTCGAACTCTGCCCGTGAGCTGTTTAGATGTGCCATCGCCCCCATCTGTCCGGACCCATTGACTTGAATCGCGTTGGCATTGTGGAAAGCGTACGAATGGTACTTGATTGACAAGAGTAGTTGGTCGTTTTGCTAGGAGAACATCCAACTCCCATCGGGGCTTAAGTGTCTCTAACAAAACCAACCGTCCTTGTGCCTACATCGGGTATTGAGAACTGAGGCGTTGAGACAAGCGTAATAGCAAAAGGTGGGAGGTTTTGCCGAGCTAACTAACTAATTGACCGCATCCGCTGGCTAGCTTATATCACAACCTTTCGCCAACCGCCACAAGAATGATGGGACAGTTGCTGGCTTCTCACTCCAGACTTCGGGGGTACATGTAGCAAAGCCAAAGCCGCACCAATGGTCGAAGGTGTTGAGTACATCACCGCTGTCACGTCAATTATCTCAGGACTGACTTGATCCTACATGTGATCACCTTGAGGTCTAGAAATAAGTTGAAAGAAGATTTTCTGCAATAGATGATATGACCAACGGCGTGCTGAGGAGATCACACGTCGGGAAGATATTCACCGTGTTTCTCATATCTCTTTCTCCCATTCGCGTACCCAGTCCTGTCGAATGAGTTGAGGTAAGACCTTGGATCCGGCCATCTCGGCTCCCTGTTCAATAGAATATTTTGAAACTCTATGGACATCTTTGGCCTCGTTCTCGACAATTCAAGCACGTGCTTCAGGTAAGGCCCGCAAAGCCGACCATGATGAGCGTAGAGCACAACCTTCCTGAGCTCGGGAGCCCAGCTGGGCCGTCTCGCTAGCTCATCAAAGAATTCTTCGTGCACAAAGAGAGCTCTATTGGCAGCTTCGCCAGTTATCTGCAAGTGCTTCAGTCCTGGACAATGTTGACAGAATGCGATCGAAGATCTGTGACCCAATTGGGTGGTAGCCCGCAATTTGACAGAACGAAGATTAGGGCACGCCGCCGCCAGCCTCACAATAGTGTCGTCCGTCAAGTCTCTGGCGTGGTTATCGGGATGATAGCCGTCGCCCAAGTGTAGGAATTCAATGTGCCACAGGTTACGACAAACTTTGGGAAAAGAAATGAGCTCATCCATGATTTCGCTGGGGACATTGGTAAGCAGATGCAATGCTATTGAGTCAAGCGGTGCAATGAGCGTAAAAGCAAATCTGACTTCTTCTATAACCGAACTGGTCGAGGGTGAATGGGATATGCATCATTAGATAATAACTTACGGTGTCAGTTGCGTTTCGGTTCCGAAAACAATTTGTCTTGTCGAAGATCCCAGTCTGTCCAGATGTTCCGTTCCCCAACTCCGATTGCCTTGGAAAAGAATACTCTTGGTGCCCTTCTGAGCGTCTGGGCGCCTGATACGTTTCAACTGCTGGATTGATGATGCTGTTGATTTTGGCGGCTGGGGCTCAGACGGAACAGTGACTGTCTGAGGCACTACGGCAGGCAAGACCACTTTGTCCGTCGTCACCAATTCAATGACGTCGTCTCCTTCCTCAGGTGGAGTCTTTGAGTCCGTCGGTGTCGTTGTCATTGAAGAGGCTGGTGGTGTGGCCGATTGTGAGATTGGCGGGGGTTCTACATGTTGAGGTGCTTCTAACATCTTTGGTGCCTTTGGCTGGACTTTGATAGCGGGGGCTAGAGCTTCGTTTCTGTCTACCTTTACGAAGAAGGCTGCAAGAGAGCCAGACTTCCTCGCTGCGGAAGACTTTTCTGTCCGGATTGGAAGCATCTTGGACGATAAATATAGAAAGTCAAAGAGAATACCACGGTGCGTGATGAAGATGGAAATGCAGAAACAGTCGGAGAAGAAAGGGGGGGGGGGGGGCGAGTTATTAGGTTTCGCGAAGAGTGGAGGCTGGCTGGCAGGCACAACAACGATAGATGAAGTAATTAGCATTGTCGTCTACCTAGTCTAGGGCAGCAATTGAGGAGCATGTGACGAATGCCACGGTCATTCATTGCTGCAGCTCTGCATTGAAAAAGAGATGGCAGAGAGACATTATACGATGTCTGTTCTACCTTATTGTTCTGGTGGTAGAGGATACAAAATGTCTCGTTGCTGGTATTTAATAGTTGCCAGAGTCAGGATAGTACAACGCTCCGGCCCCGCGGAGTTGCCGGAGCACTACCGGCGCACTACCGGCGCGCCGTTGCCGCGTATTCACCGGTTTATATTAGCAGGAAGGGATCTAACAACAGATCTCACGCCATTTTCTTACAGCGCCAGATTCGAGCTGAGAAGCAGCCCTGTTTGCAACAAATATGTCTTGTTCTGCCTGTCATTGCAATGCTGCATGAATTTAGCATCGACGAGAGATTGAGCCCGGCACTGACTCTCTACTGTTGGTAGGACTAGTATGATGGAGAAGTGTTTTCCATGAGCTTTGTGCACATGCTGGCCACTGGCAACTAGCATTGGCGACGCGTCGGTCAAGGCCTATTAAGTCCAATGACCAGCGATGGTGCTCTTATATATAAGATAGCTTTGCGAAAAGGCCTGCGAGTACAGATGAAAGTGGCCAAAGTTGAGCGTGAAGTCAAGTCCTGTGAATGGGCTGCCTGCTATTACTCTTTATTTCGGGTTCGAAGGCAACTTCATATTTTCACAATTGTTGCAGCTCCGAGGTGAGGTGCAAAATCCACGACTTAGGCGACAGAGCCTATTTCTTTCTGAGGAAGTGACCTGTATTTCTTACACGCAGTTCGTACTGGACAGTTTCTCAGTTGATGGCGTTGATGCAAATCTTGGTCGTAAACAGCCGAGGCCTGACTCGGCATTCATATACGTTTAGCTGGTGCAACGCGTCGTAGCAAACTATTTTTGACGCATGCCATTGATGAGATGAGACGATATTCGCCGTGGCAGGATTTATGTGCGCTATCCCTATTGTCAGTTGTTTGCAGGTGAGATCATCGACGGAGCAGTCCGAAGGCTGCGGTTTTAATGTGCGACAGCTCCTGATCACTGAAACAAGGTATCCTCGACCCTAGTGACAAAGCTAATTTGAGCTCCACGAGCTTCTTTGAGTTTCATATGGACGGTCCAATGAATCTATTGGAAACCCCATGACAGGCGGATTATAGCATGCCATCTTAACGACGATCAGACTGACCTAGAACATCGCGTAGATCCCCCCAAACTCCACAAGGTGACTATGTGAAGGGGCAACGTGTCAGACAGGTCAAAGGATGCCTTTAACGATACCGAATACGTAAAATAGGGCTATGTATCCCGTTGACAGCGATCACGCCGAGAACAAATGGGATGACAGACAAGGATCTCGAATTTCCTGAATCATGCTCTGAGTCAACCTCGGATTTGCAAAGATTCTGGAACATTGGGATGGTCAGAGAATTGCAGGAACCCACTAAAGGACAAGTCGGGATAGGCAACTCGAGATAAGATTGGCCATCACTTCCCTCGTATAAATAGGAAACATCTCGTTCGTCTCTCGATTCGACTGAATTCAAATTATTCCCATCTTGTCTGGTGCAGAATCTCACTGTCAAGTACGATCGCATAGCCATATTTTGTACCATCTCGTTAGCATCTATTCGATCATCTGTCATCAAATACCCACTCAGTTATCTACCTCTTTTCATCCCTCAAAATGCAGCTGATCACTCTGACAGCTTGCCTGATGCTTTTAGTGAGCCCTTTGTTTGCTCGTAAGTACTTAGCCTTTTATCTGTAGCAAGTGTTGACTTTGGTGTCCTCATTCGCTGGAACAGAGAAATTGACTATCGCTTGGTTACTGACTTGCCCGACTTCACTCCCGTACCCGATGAGACATGATTGAACTGTGTAGATTGGAGTTGAACTAAGCCAAAACTAATGAAACTTCTAGAAAGTTGTAACAACGGCCGGGGGTTTTGCAAAGGCGGACGATGCGAGCCTAATAACGACCCGAGCGGCGCTGGCCCATTTGTCGGTAACTTCAAGGAATGTCAGACCGAAAACGGACGATCTCAAGTCGACGACTTCATCTTGGGAGGTGGTAACCAGGATGCTCAAGTCAACGCTGGCGCTGCTTGTAACAACGGCAGAGGAACTTGCAGCGCTCGCGGTGCTTGCGAACCTAACAATGACCCCAGTGGCGCTGGACCATTTGTGGGAACTTTTGAGGAGTGCTTCAATTAGAGACGGCGACTTCCACATTCAATACAGCCAATCTTTCACGTTTATTTGCGGGTATGGTCCCTGCCGAGTCAACCACAGGCCAAGTGAGACAGACGCGATGTTGTGTTGTTAGTCTTCATGGTGGGCGGCGGAGTTTATGTATCCTATCTTAAGTCCGGCTCTAATTTAGGGCAAAGAGCCTTACCAGGACCAGTCGTCCAAAGCAATGCCCCCATCAAATCTACCATAGCTCAAGCTTACCTCAAGAGCTAATTCCGAATCATAGTTGTTTTGGTAGTCAGCAAGCTGCACAAACAGTTGGTGGGTTTGACGAAGTAGGCCAGTGATCAGCGCAGTGCGGGGTAGCTCCTCGCCTCTCGGTTCCATCACCGACCCGCGCTGTGACCCCTCCAAAGTATGTCGCGATCGGGCTTGATGACGTTTGCGCTGCTAACATAGCTACTATATAGGTCACCTCTCTGCCCTTTACAACCATCCATAATCTTTTTTGTTAGTCAATTGACTGCTAGCCAGTCTCTATAGATCATATCATATTCAACCGTACAATATCTTATCCGTCAAGAACTCAGCACAACTTGCAATAATGGCATCCAAGGAGCTCCCAGCACGCCTGAAGGAAAGTATCGATAGCACCAAGGTCGAGTACCGCCAGCTCGGAAAGTCCGGATTGCGTGTTTCAGTTCCCATCTTTGGCTGCATGAGCTTTGGAGACTCTCAGTCCATCGATTGGGCTCTGAATGAGGACGAGGTATACTCATCGCTTACGCCATGATCTTGACCAACGTGGCTAAGAATATAATATGTAGGCACTTCCGCTTCTGAAGGCGGCTTACGATCGAGGGTTGAATACTTGGGATACTGCCAACGCGTACTCGAATGGCGCATCCGAGCGGACGATTGCCAAGGCCCTGAAGAAATACAACATCCCCCGCGAGAAGGTGGTCATTTTGACCAAGTGTTTCTTTGCTGTCGGTGAAGAGCCTGGTATGTGACTTGGTACTTTATGCTGTGACAATCATGGGTCGCACTGCTGACGACCTTCTCAATTTGCAGAGACTCGTCACTTCAACTACCGCGAGGAGATCAACAAATCGAAGGATTACCAAAACCAATGGGGTTTGTCCAGAGCTTCTATCTTCAATCAGGTAGAGGCATCGTTGAAGAGACTGGACACTCCGTACATCGACCTTCTCCAGATCCACAGATTCGACCCCAGGACACCCGTAGAAGAGACGATGAAGGCGCTGCATGACTTGGTGCAGTCGGGGAAAGTTCGGTACATCGGTGCCAGCAGCATGTGGGGTACTCAATTTGCCCAGATGCAGTTCACTGCTGAGAGGAATGGCTGGACGAAGTTCGTGAGCATGCAGAATCACTACAATCTGCTGTATCGTGAAGAAGAAAGGGAGATGAACCGATTCTGTAATGACACTGGAGTCGGACTCATTCCGTGGGCTCCTCTTTGTAAGTTAATGGCTCTTACGTTCAGGTTCGGCTCATGCTAATTGGTGACATCAACTAGGCCGTGGTCATCTAGCCCGACCCCCGAAGGACTTTGGCTCCACTTCACGCAGCAAGACCGAGAAGGAGGGTCAGCCCGGAAGCCATGGAACGGTGGAGCCGGATCTCACCATCATCAAGCGAGTCCAGGAGATCGCCGAGAAGCGGGACTGGCCCATGTCCCACGTGGCTCTTGCATGGATCAACAAACGAATCACGAGCCCCATCATTGGCTTCAGTAGCGTTGAGAGAATTGATCAAGCAATCACTGCCGACGGCAAGGTCTTGACCGATGAGGAGGAGAAGTACCTTGAAGAATTGTACCAACCCAAGGCCATCTCGGGGCATGCGTAAGCTGGCTGCGGGGAAGGATCGATCTAGCCTTTGAGCAATAATAAAGTAGAACCAATCGGATCTTTCTTCAAGCCTTTTCCGAATGAGTCTACATAGCATCAGAAGTGCACAATTTTGGTCAGCATCTTCCTGGAAGTTGGCAATAATTGACTCTTCCAATACATTGAAGAAGCTTCGCTTAAGCTATCAGCGCTCCCCGAGATCTGTCCCCCAGAACTACTTGAATTACGGTGCCGAACACGAATTCGGAGGTATGAATATTCGGACCCTAGATTGGCTGAAGCGGTCTTCGTCTGATGTGCCTCAAAATCCTCGCAACACAGACCGTCGCAGAACATGGGTTTTTGCCTGATTCGGCGACGGGACTCTAACCAACACGATCTCCAACCTAGCCGATGCAACCATTTCAAGCCGATTTCAGCTCTTGTTGTTCTTTTTCTCCGCTTACATTACACTACTCATTCATCCGGGGTCGTATCTCAAGTCGCAGCCATCTGAAAGCATAATCGCATGACACCTGCCGACCCATCGTATGCGGTCTCGCTGCCGAGGGTGGAAAGAAACGTGCTTCCACCCATAGGGTCAGGTTGCAGGGAGAGCTCCTCGTTGAAGCTCTTGAGAGGCTCAACGAACAGCCCACGACCTTGGAATACTGTCGAAATATAGGAACACTTCCGTTTTGGGCCATGCGATGCGAAGAATCACCCACAGTTTCCGCCATTACGCTACCTCCCGCGCGGCGCTACCTGGTTCATCTGGAAATAAGCTCATTGGACAAACCCAAGCGGAAGCGATGGGATCTTGGTTCATCGATCGTAATGAGGTCATTGCCTTTCCAACCATTCCGAGGACGAGCTGCAGGGAGAATGACTCTCGCGCCATATATCGATCCCAATCCGCCGCCACAACCCCATTTGGATTGATGGATTTGCCTTAGTGGAAGGTTGAGAACAAACTAAATGAGCCTTTCTCGGCTCTTGCATACTTTGCTACCTCATCATGATTATCTCGACTTTGGTCTTCATCTCTCTATGTGCCCAGACATGGGCTGCACCGCAGCAAGGTGGCGGCGGAACCCCTCGAGTCACCATCAAGGCACCTCAAGCAAACCTGAAAGGTACAACGAAAGGATTTCTTGGGGCCAAGGCTGGTGAAGTTGAATCATTCAACGGAATCCCCTTTGCCAAGCCTCCCATCGGGGACTTGAGGTTCAAGCCACCTGTACGGCTTACCGAAGCCATGGGCGAAGTCGATGCCACCACGGAACAACCAGAGTCATGCCCGCAGTTCATCCTACAGCCAGACTTTGGCTCGCCTCTCATCCCTCCAGACCTTCTCGATAAGGTCCTCAATCTACCGATTCTTAAGAACTTGGCCGTTGGACAAGAAGACTGTCTCACTATTAATGTGCAACGCCCTGCCGGAACCAAAGAGGGAGACAAGTTGCCGGTGATGTATTGGATCTTTGGCGGTGGGTTCGAACTAGGCAGCACCTCCATGTATAACGGAGCTGGACTCATCGCAGAAGGAATGTCTACAGGCAAGCCGTTTGTTTTCGTGGCAGTCAACTACCGTGTAGGTGCTTGGGGATTCATGCCGGGGAAGGATCTCATGCAGGAAGGTAGCTCTAATGCTGGTCTTCTGGACCAAAGGATGGGACTGGAATGGGTCCAGGACAACATTGCGAGCTTTGGGTAAGTCTCAAAGTCCTCTGAATCAGAAAGTGAAATACAAAGATGCTGACTGCTTGTCTGCCAGTGGCGACCCGGATAAGGTCACTCTGTGGGGAGAGTCGGCCGGTGCTATATCGATCTTCAGCCAACTCTCGCTCTACAACGGCAACATCACACGCAATGGCAAGGCACTCTTCCGCGGCGCCATAATGAACTCCGGATCTGCTGTTCCGACTGATCCAATGGACTCACCGAAAGCCACGAAGGTTTATGACAAGGTTCTGTCTGCTGCCGGATGTGATGGAGCACCTGATCGATTGAAGTGCCTGCGAGATCTCTCTTACGATGTAAGGCTATCTAGTGTACCTCTATCTCTGAATGTAATGGCTGACATATGCGGCTAGGACATGCGCAAAGCTGCAAACTCCGTACCAGGCCTTCTGAGCTACAGTTCAGTGGCTCTTTCCTACCTCCCGAGACCTGACGGGAAGAATATTGTGTCAAGCCCAGAGGTATTCGCAACGTCTGGGAAGCTACCGAAGGTGCCCTTCATTCTAGGAGATCAAGAAGACGAGGGCACCCTTTTCGCTTTGTTCCAACCAAACATCACCAGGACTCGAGAAGTTGAAGAGTACCTCGGCGAACTATACTTCAACAATGCCTCCCCACAACAAATCAAGGACCTAGTAGGCACTTACGCTGCCCGCCCATCTGAAGGATCGCCGTTCAGAACCGCAGGTTTCAACGAAGTCCGGCCGCAGTTCAAGAGACTAGCTGCCATCTTAGGTGACACGGTTTTCACCCTTACCCGTCGAGCTGTGTTCAACATCTCCCAAACAGTCCAGCCAGAAGTCAACACCTGGAGCTACCTCGCCAGTTACGACTACGGTACTCCTGTCCTCGGAACATTCCACGGATCGGATCTCCTCCAGGTATTTTACGGGATCAAGCCGAACTACGCTGCTTCGGCGACGCGGGCGTACTACTTTAACTTTGCTTACAATCTGGACCCCAATGACTCCTCTGGTGGCACGGGGAAGGCAAAGGTGAAGTTAATTGATTGGCCTAAGTGGAGAGACGGAAACAAGATGCTGCACATGATGGCCAAGAGTGCGGATTTGATAGATGATGATTTCCGACAGGACAGCTTCAACTTCTTGCTGAATAATGTAGAGAAGTTACGCTTCTAAATTTTTGGGAGATGGTACGGTTCGTTTTGGGCTTGGAGCTGGCTTCCATGGTCTTTTGAAGTTTGGGGGTTGGAAGGACAAGGTCTTTCGCAGTGCCACCACTGGCGTTTGTGCTATGCGCACCTATGGCGCCGCTCTTATCACTTAATACTCGACTAAACCAATTCTTCATGAATTTATACCGATTATTGTCCCAAAAGCATGCATGTAGTCGCCCTGGCCACCCCCATAACCATCTCAGTGTCAGTGTGGCCAATACGGTTGTCGTCTGATAACAAACTTGCGACGATAAAAACGCCGCCTAAGCTTAAAGGAGCAAACTGATGCGATCTTTCACATGAGATCTCGCGTCAGCATGACAACAGCCATACAACACCATTTTATCTGATTCTTTTTGTACAGTACTCTGTCTACTTGTATGACTCTCTCATTCTATCGGCTCTAGTAGGGTACTTCAAATCCGGCCAATTCCTGCGCCAAGTTTGACAATGGGTGCTACCAAAGGCAGAGGAGTGAGCTTGAACTGATAGGGCGCCTTGTAGAAGTCACCCTTCTGGGTAATGTTGACACCAGCTTTTCCCCAGTCATTGGCTAAAACCATATTAGTATATCCTAAGATTGACACGAACGAGTGACGGGACAAGCAAATACTTACGTGCACCAAGATTAGCAAAGCCATCCAATTCCTCGTCACCACAGACACAAGTATTTGGAGAGTCATCGGGGATTACGAGGCCGTAAGTGCTGAGCGCCTCACGGGTGTTTCCACGGAAGACGTTGCCCTCGACCAAAACCTGGTTGTCGGAGCGAGAGTGAATGGCCTGGTAGAGGAAGTCCTCGTAGAGGTTGCTGTAGATATGCTGGTGTCCAAATCGACCGGCAGGCCCGCGAGTGCCTTCGTTCTTCCAATAGTTGTGATGGTATGTGACGTGAAGATGACCGAAGTCGAGGTCGCGGAATGTAGCATCGTTACCGACAAGGGATGACTTCCAGTGATCGTGAAAATAGTTCCATGAAACGGTGATCCAGTCCGAAGCACGGATTATATCGACCTGACCGTCCTGTTCCACAGAAGTTAGCGACACTCTCAAGCAGGAAGTCCACACGAAAGCAGTTCACTAACATAGAAGTCCGGGCCTTTAGTGATATCCGAGGTGAATTCATTGTGATCCACCCAGACCCTAGTAGAATTACGGATCGTGATGCAGTCATTGTCCAAGATGTGGCTGATCTTGAGATTCTGCAAGATGACATTGGTTGCGTTGTAGACATTGAGGCCCTTGCCGGTAATGTGTGCTGTGTTCTTGTAGCCAACCAAGCTTTTGTTTGATCCGACGTTGAGGCGTGCGGGCAAGACGAACTCGCCCTTAAGGACCACAATCTTGGGATCACTGCCTGTCACCGCCGTCTGGAGCTCGGGAACACTTGAGACTGTCAAAGTTGGGCCCCCTTTGCCTCCGGTAGTCTTGCCAATTGGGTTGTCTTTGGCGAAGCCTTCAACTTCCCAGGAGGCAAGACCGAGCCAGTCGAGGGGGTTGGCTGTGGTCAAGCCTAGGAAAGCGTAGAAAACTACCGGGACGTTGATTCTCATGGTGGTAATTTTCTTGCGAAGAAAACGGGACCGGAAATGAGGAAGAGGGAACCGCACAAAGGGGAGAACGACCAATGCTGACGACAGAGTACGTGATCTACAAAAAGGGCTCATTGACTCGAGTGCCAGTGCCTGGTCCTACTTATACACAATTCATGGCAGCCATGAGCTCACTGTTTAATTATCAATCAGCATCCCTCATACCCCGAAGCGAGCCTTGGTCCCGAATCCAAGCTACTGGAGCTGCAGCTATTCCGCGATTCTATCAACGTCATGAACATTTTCCTATGAGCATGCGGAGAACCCTGTCTGCCTTGCAGAAATTACAGAAGCTATCACCAATGATAGTCATTCAAGATACCAGGTCGAGCATCTTGGCCAAGCCACACGACCACGGAAAGACCATGCCAAGATCCGGCTAGCGATGGCGGTCAGCCGCCAGTGGTGGAAAATGGAGACTCCGGGCCATGATGGGATGCGGCAGAAATGGCACGGGATGTTGCAGAGCATTTTCCTGTTAGGAAAGACGAGCTGTTGGACGCAGCCAAGGACGACTCCAACTGCTGAAAACCAAGCGAAATGAAGAGTATTTTGCCTGAGGTGATGGTGCTCGATGAGGGTTATCAGAGGAAGGATATCTGCAGGTGCAATAGGGCAGGTTGCAGGGACGGTGGGGGATGCAGTTGGCTGGTACTAAAGCCTAATCTACGGGAAATGGGGTAAACCCTGCTCCAATGCAACAAGAATACTTGACGTTGGTTGGATGATCCATCATCCCATCGAATAAGCTCATGGACTTCCCGGAAGTCAAAAAAAGACTCTAAGCGGCGCCGATCGGGAACAACATCAATCGTCCAAGGATCTTTGTGTGGAGTGCTAGTCGCAGGAAGAAAGTAGCAACGTACGGTTTAGAAGCTTGTGCACTTCTTGCATTGTCCAGAGCAATGTTCGCGTCTGGCTGTCCCAATTCTGAAGCCCAGACTTTTGAATATCACTCCGGGGGCTAAAGAATCATTACCCCTCATGGAATGCACATAATGCAGGGCGCTTATGCAATGCCGCGACACACAGGGTAAATCAGCCTAAGAAATTCGTGAAAACGGAGCTGGATCTCGTCCGAGAATGCCCTCGGGCTCAATGGTCCTTTCGTTCCTTGGGTTCGGAGGCGTTCGGGAATCCAAGCCACGCGGAGCCCTTGTCCAGATTCTTCCATGAACCACGTTGTCGAGTGACACTACGTCTAGTCGACCGATTCCTCTTGTTTCACTTACTCATTATTTCAGGAAGTGAGTCAAATCTTTCTCAATGCTGGTCGAGCTCAAGAATCCGGTTGATTCTCTATCAGCCCATCATCATGATATCTCTCATCGATTTCTGGGAAAGTCTCGGAGGCTTCTGAGACAACTCAGCTATTGTCTCAAGAAAGTTGTTCCATGCATTCTTTCCACCTGCAGAGAACTTTACGCAAGGGGCTTTCAAGGCGCTTGCGGTCTCACTCCAGCCCTTTCGGCCAAACCCGTCTGCTTCGGGACCTCAGCTCCGGCCCAACCGGCGATCTAGACTCTGCCCCGCCGACACGGCCCCACCAGGGCTTGCCTCCCTCGCTTGACGACTCAAATCCCACACTTCCTCTGCCCCCTACAGCAACGATTCGTATTGCCCAATTTCCGCCTCCTCTTTCAACAATTCAAATGGTCTGGTGGTGTAGTTGGTTATCACGTCAGTCTAACAGATTCGAGGCAACTCGGACTGAGCACACTGAAGGTCTCCGGTTCAAGTCCGGGCTAGATCACTATGGGCGATTGGTTTAGTGGTATAATGACCGCTTAGCATGCGGTAGGTCCTGGGTTCGATTCCCAGATCGTCCATTCTTTTGCTCTCTTGAGCTATTGTTGCTTTTGCGTTTGCTCTTTTTTTTTTTTTTTTTTTTTTGGCTTAATTTGGCTGTTCCTTGCCCTTCTCTACCCCTTGATATGGTTCTACTCGAAGCATCCCCCCAGCGACCTTTACATAGAAGAGATTTGACACAATTTGTCAGGCTTTATTAAATTCGAAAGGTCTATGGTTCTCATTTTGCTCTAATGACGAAGTAGGAAGATCGAATGGCTGCGCAGACGCCTACTCTTGTTTCGCAGGCTTGCGCCCAACCATCAGATACATGGGCGTGAAAATCTTCTCCTTACCACCGAGTACAAGCGCATCAGCAGCGACACAAAGGCTATCCGACATCTTCATCATCCCAGGGGGCGCAAGTCTCAAAGTCTCCATGAGTCCAAGGAACCCATGCGTAAACGCCCGTCCCAGCCCAGTCATGCGGAAGGTGTAGAGCAAGTCGCCCACCGTCTGCGCGTGTCTCCAGCTACCGGCATCCAATGGCCAGTACCACGGGCTCGGGTCCGGGCGCTCGGCCATGTCTTCGTTCTGGATCATTTCGAAGCCGGCTGCCTGGAAGGCGCGCACTGCTTCGGATGCCTTGACCATGTTGGCGATGCCGTCTCCTTGTTCAATGTCGATGCGGATCTTGCGCAGACGCAGGTCTTCGTTGTCGTACTTTTCCGTCATGACCCATTCGTAGACGCCAAAGACGCCGCCGGGCTTGAGGACTCTGAAGATCTCGGAGTACACGTCTTGTAGAGACGGGGCGTGGACTGTGGCTTCGATGGCGTAGACTGCGTCAAAGGTGTTGTCTTCGAAGGGTATTTTCTATGTAAGATTTGGTGTCAGTTGAGTTTACAAGAGTCCTTCGTTAAAAGTGGGATGCCATACCATGAAGTCGCCTTGGACGAATTGGACCTGCTTATCCAATTTGGACTGAACAGCATACTTCGTGGCCCGTTCCACCTGGTATTCGTTAATGTTGAGACCGGTGATGTACGCCCCCGTGAACTTGGCAATCTCCCGAGCAGGTCCGCCTACGCCGCAGCCAACGTCCAGCACCTTCATATCCTTCTTGATACCGATGGCGTGGGCGAGATAGTGTTCGTGTCTTGCGATGCTCTGCTTAAAGGATTCGCCAGCAGAAGGCCGAGAAAAGTGGAAGCTTTGGCCAAAGCCATACTCGTAGAAATCGGTCGCCAAATTGTAATATCTGGAAAGCAAATAGTTAGACAATGGAATCGCTTTTTGGTCTGGGTTTCGAGGACTTACTGTCGGGTAAGAGAAGCGTAGTCTGCTGTACGAGCCTGTATGACAACAATAGTTAGGCAAAGTTGGGTAAAAGTTTGGTCACAATGATGAACGTACCTCACGGTCTTCTTTCGTTTCTTTTTGTGCGCTCTTGTTGTCCCAATGACTGAAGTATTCGTCTGTGGCTGCTTTCTGGGCTTCGTAGTCCTTCTTCAACATTGCTGACATGCCGACATCTTTGAACGTTCCCTTGTGAAGAATCTTCTCAAACGTGGTATCTTTGGCCAAGAGCATTTGCCCTTCCTCTGGAATTGTTCCAACCATAATGATGAATAACGAGGTGAATTTCGTAGATGATGATAACGTGTAATTGTGTTGAAAACGGCTGTTTTTGTAATACCTGTAGTGGGTAGGAAGCTAGCAGAACTTGTTGAAAGACGCAGTTCTCGAGGTGTTGTTATCCCTGCTTTTCAACACGAGCGTCTTTTCTTGCCTTTAAATGTTTTTTCTTCGATTTCACTTACACCCATTGATCCAAAAAGTTGAACATATTGTATTTATCAATTGCAAAGTAAGGAAGGCTGAGATCTCAGACACGAATACGTGATAAGCTCTTCGATGATAATCAAATCCGAATACGAATGCGCCTTCCTGCCCCCCTGCGGACGTCAGAACCGTCAACTCGGGCACTGATCTGGAGTCCTTCTGATTCGTTGACGCTGCCTAAATGGGAAAGACGGTGGATCACGAAGATGATGCAACAACCCGTTCGCTCCCGCAGATCCGTGTGTTCACTCAATGGAGGATCTTGATGGAATTTGTGGATATTTCTCGAGATGTTCTCTTTATTCTGCAGGCATCATCTCGCTTTACCATGCTTTCTGATGAAATTACTGACATTCGGGAGACCCATATTTCGAGCCAATTGAGGAAAAGCGCCGGTCTGACCTGTCAGTGCCGCTCTCAGAGCCATGGACACGAATACGAAGAACGGCCAGATCCAACACTACTTGCCTTGCTATTGAATTGTCGGCACAGAGCGACACCGGATGCTGGCATATCGTAGGTGTTCATAATATCGGAATGAATGAATATTTCATGGTTTGAATCCTATTTACACTTCTTGCCATCATTGATATCCCTGTGTAAAACCCCGCTTAATGGCGCAGCATGGACCGTGGCAGCCACAGGCAAGTAGGCTCCATCCAGGCCCAGTGTTTGTCTCCGAGCCTGCTAGCAGAAATTGCTCGTTGTCCTTGAGATTGCTGTGGCGTTCGACTCCCCCTAACAATCATCAATCCGCCCCAAGTCGTGAAGCCAATGCATGATTTGCTAACACATGATCATGTTGTCAAGTCAGAACAATGGAGCAATGATTGTGATTACATAAGGCAATGATGAACTGATTTTCATCAGGCAGGTTGCAGTTGAGGGGCGAAGAGTTTGCGACAGGAACAGACAGGACTATGGGCTATTGTCATATCTGTAACGGGCCGAGCTCTGCTGTGCTCTCCGATGGCGGGGCATTCTAGCCGTAATGTTTCTGCCCGTCCCGTTGCTGGTGTGGGGCAGAGCTTGGGTGCCCGGGGACGGGTCCGGGCTCAAGGGTCCCGGGAACTTCGGAAGACAGCCGGCGGGCTTAGCATGTGATAATCGGAGCAGTGGAGATGAGACGGACCCGGCAACTTGGTGCTGCCCCGTTTTGATGCTGCGGTAACGATGGGCTAAGGCCCGAACCCGATTATGGCTCCACTTACGGTGCATTTCGAACGGAGCCGTGACTCGTGACTCGCAATGGTCCTATCCGGATCGTACAGTGGGATACTCGTGCCATCCTTGTCACTCCCGTCGGCAATCTTGTGTGGTAGCCTTCGTCAGCCTCAATGGCTAGTCATTTCCTAGGCTCACGTCTCATTGACACGATAGTGAGTTCGCCCTAAGCCGCCTTGAAAACCCCGGGTTGGCCAGATTTGCGGTTGTCTGTCTAAGGATCTGACAGTAGATCTGACAGAGCCGCATTATGCATTGCCCTGAAGAAGTCGGGATATATCATATATCCTGTCGTGTCACATAGATACGATGGATTTGGGGCAGAAGATACGATCAGCTGCTGACTGCCCGTAGATATACGAGGCACGTGTAAGATCTATCCGGTGAGCTTGGTTTCCACATCTGAAGATGATTGGAGGGCCAAGACTCGGGATGATCACGAAGGGCTGCGGGGGGGATGTCGCACAAGCGAGCAATGACGACAACGTGGCAGGTGGGAAAGGGTACTTATTGGTTCTCACGGATGCCTGCTTGATCTTGTGTCTACTACAAGTTCCATCCCCAGACTCGACCTCTTTGTTCCACAGTGCCCCCGTGGGGAGAGATGCTGTCGACTTTGTCGAGTCTCGACGATGACCCAGGAATCCAGGTGAGGCCGGCATCGCGCCGAACAAAATTGGGCAGAAAGATTGGGGAATGGTTGAGAGGAGCTCCTGATTTCAGCGAAATTCTGCTCGCGCGTGATACGTCCGAGTGCTTTTTTGAGTTTCGCGGACTTGGAACTCGTTCAGTCCGGGGGCGCTCACCCGCCCAACCCTCTTTCCGAAGTCCCAAGTTTCCTCACTCCACCGTGCCCCCCGCCAGAGACTCAGACAAGAGACCAGAGACCAGACCAACGAACCTTCAACGTTGCGTAAAGAAGGTATTGACCAATCGCTGGAACTCTGGTGCCAATCCCCGCCTAAAGTCCCGCAATATTCTTGAGGTGTCTGCTGGAGGCTACGCGGGGAAGAACGCTGCCGTTCGCCGTTTGATCATCAGGCGGTTTGCTAAGAAAAAGACGCTTGTCTATTGGGAGTTGGTACGGATACGGCACACGTACGCAGTAGTGTACGGCAATAGTGGGATAACTTGATGGGGGTCCATCGCTGCTAGATCTCTCTTCTCACTCGCAGCCCCCAAGTGTCAGGACCGTATGTAAAGAAAGGGAATTGAACCAACAGGAGCAACCAACGCCAACCCCAGAACACCCACAGCAACAGTCATCCCATCTGCAAGTGTTTGTTGCAGGGATGCCTAGTTTCAGCGACGTCAGGTAAGAAAACCTATTGGCCGTACCGCCATACGAAATCTCGCAGAAATCTTCGCCCCAATTGCCGGTGGGTGGAAACGCCGAATGTTCTCTGTGCCGCCATTCGTCAGACATGGATTCTTACACAGGATCTTTGCCAAGCTACTCCCTGATGGGAAAGGCTCGCTGACCCGAAGCAGCATCAGGTACGCCACATGTGCGCAGGGATGTACGCGGTGTCGCCGGCGAACACTTCTAGTGCACGGTACGGCAAGTCTAGACATCCAGCTGGCACTACCGTCTCACTCTGTGGTCCTGTCTTTTTGAGTTTTGGGCTGACAGTTTTTCTCTTCTTTTGGGTGAGGCGAGAAGTGACCGCTAATGCCTAAGCAATGCTATCCCGTACTTTGTCTGATGTGGGTTTCTTCTCCTTTTGCCGTGACCCTCCCACCCCTTTCCTTTCCCAATACTTGACCCATCCACATCCGTATGCGACCCAGCCGTTCGAGACATCTCGCTGTCAATCCCCAACCAGCAAACAAGTACCAACCACACTGCATCTCCAACCCCAGACCATCCATCCCTCGACTTTCCCCGCGCGAGCCAATGGGTCGCGGAGAAAGTGGAGCATAGCGTGGTCCTTAGTCCCGGATTCCAAGCCTTGGGTCCTAGACTGCTAGGGGGGACGGGCGAAAAGGAAGCCTTGGGGTCTTTGGTTTTGTCTTCTCGCATTGAAGTGCGGCGACTTAAGACACGGATGGTCCATAACGTCAACATCATACATACCTTCTTTCCGCCACTTGAGAATTGAATTTGAGCGAGCCAGTCAGAAGCCGCGCCGCTTAATCGACTACCTTGCTTCTCCAGGAAGAACTATCACCACCACCTCCTTGGCCCATAGCATCAGGTTGATCGAGCAAACTTCCAGGCAAGATATAAGATGATCTGAAATCCCCAAGTCCCAACACATCTTCAGAACATCAGCTTCAGCAGTTTCATCGGGATTGCCAACAATTCAAGCTCGAGCAACGTCAACTCCCTTTGACAGGAGTCCCAGAACACCCGCTCTGATCTTATAAGATCGAGCTCGAACCCACATTCATCCCCGGTTTAGCAACACTTCACCTCTCCCCATTTTCACCCCAGTACACCGCAACCATGGTGCACATCGGATCATCCGCGGGCAGGGCGCCGACCGAGACCATCCAGATCGACTCGGAGGCCACCCGCCGCATGTCCATTGCCGACGCCGACGCCGCCGGGCTCGCCCGTGAGGCGGCCAAAGCGACCGAGGCCGAGCTCAGTATGGGCCTCATGGCATCGATCAAGCTCTATCCCCGGGCCGTCATGTGGTCGCTCTTCTTCAGCACCGCCGTCATCATGGAGGGTTTCGACAAAACCCTCATCGGCAACCTCTACGCCTACGATGTTTTCCAGCGCAAGTTTGGTGAAATACAGCCTGACGGCAGCTATCAGTTGACTGCGGCGTGGCAGGCTGGTCTCAGCAACGGCGCGCTTGTTGGCGAGATCACCGGTCTGTTCCTCAACGGTATCATTGCCGAGAGGTTTGGATACCGCAAGACCATGATTGGTGGCCTCGTTGGCGTCACGGCTTTCATCTTCATCATCTTCTTCTCCGAGACCCTTGTCCAGCTCCTGATCGGAGAGATGCTCATTGGTATTCCATGGGGTATCTTCCAGACCCTGACTGTCACCTACGCCTCCGAAGTCTGCCCCACACATCTACGAGCCTACCTTGTGAGTCCCAATATTCCCGCCAAATCCCTTTTGGGGCTAATCGCTAACTCTCTATTCAGACTACCTACGTCAACCTCTGCTGGGTTATTGGCCAACTCATTGCCAGCGGTGTCCTTCGAGGTGTCATCACCCGTACCGACGAGTGGGGATACAAGATTCCCTTTGCCCTTCAGTGGATGTGGCCCGTCCCCCTCATCATCGGCATCTTCTTCGCCCCCGAGTCTCCCTGGTGGCTCATTCGCAAGGAGCGCCTCGACGACGCTAGGAAGTCTCTCATCCGCCTCACCAGCCGCAACCAACAGCAAAACTTCAACGCCGACGAGACCATCTCCATGATGGTCCACACCAACGAGCTGGAGAAGGCCGCACAGAGCGGAACGAGCTACATTGACTGCTTCAAGGGCACCGATCTTCGCCGTACCGAGATTGTTTGCGTCACATGGGCCATCCAGACCCTTTGCGGCTCAACATTCATGGGATATTCGACATACTTCTACCAGCAAGCCGGCATGGCCAAGGAGAACGCATTCACCATGTCCTTGGCCCAGTACGCTCTCGGCGCTCTCGGCACAGTCTTCTCCTGGTTCCTGATGCAGCACTTTGGCAGACGCACTCTCTACCTCTCTGGCCAGGGCATCATGTGCGCCATCCTCGCAGCCATCGGCTTCGCCTCCTTGGCTGGAAAGTCCAACGTCGCCGCACAGTGGGCCATTGGCAGCTTGCTCCTCGTCTATACCTTCATGTACGACTGCACCGTCGGCCCCGTCTGCTACTCTCTCGTCTCCGAACTCAGCTCGACCCGCCTGAGGACCAAGACTGTCGTGCTCGCGCGTAACCTATACAACATCACCGGTATCACGACTAACATCCTGACACCACTGATGCTCAACCCTTCTGCGTGGAACTGGGGCGCCAAGAGTGGTTTCTTCTGGGCTGTTAGCTGCGCCGTCTGCTTCGTCTGGACCTGGTTCCGTCTGCCTGAGCCCAGAGGCCGCACATATGGCGAGCTTGAGATTCTCTTTGACCAGCGCATCCCGGCACGCAAGTTCAGGAAGACTGAGATCGCTGGTCTCACTCACGGAGCTCAATTCACTGACAGGATCTCCGAGAAGGAGTCCATGGCAGCCGTCAGCCAGATTGAGAAGACTGCCTCAGCATAGAGGCCTGTAAGGAATTGAAGGAGAAGGAAGATTATTCCGGGATCATTTTACGTATACCATTGGATCAGGGAAGGTTTTGGATTTTCAGCAGCAAGCATTTTGCACACATATTGTCTTTAGATTTTTGTCAAAGAATAATTTCATAAATTTCGTACTCAATCGTTCCATATTGATCTTGTTGTGCCCAGACTGTCAACGCTTTCTCGCGACAGTTGTTTACATGCTAATTATGGAGATCTTTAGATGATGGGTTCAACATAAGATCCTTTACAGATGTCGGTTTTCACTCAAAACAGGAGGCTCTATGCAACGCACCCACCTTTCACTTTTCGACATAGTACTTACCTGAAGTGCAGTTATACTGAACTTGAAGTAGTGAAAACCAGCGGAAGAGAAAAACCATCATTCAACGAAATCAGCACTCATAACCACGCTCTCCGAGCCCCGGGAAGCGGGACGGGGCATGAGAGCCGGGAACCCGCTGCCGCAAAACCGGAGGTTGTGCAGCTGTGCCTGTGCGAACGTGTCCTGATCATTTTGAAGTTGGCCGGCTTACCCCGATGGCTGGATACGTCTTTACCCCCGCGATATCCAAGAAGCAGTATCATACTTGCAACCGGAGTTCACCTCCGTCACAGGAACATGATAAGTCTTTGTTGAATGCACTGCAAATTCCTGTCGCCTAGGATGGAATCCTGGACTAGAACTTTGGGTGACTCATTCTCTTTTCGTTCCGGTTCCACTCTAGGACTTACAAAAACTTAGGCAGCACACTTCCACTATAAGACCCGGATACAGCTTCTGGGAAGCCTTCTCCAAAGGATTCAGGATGTGGCTGGTGTAGGCAATTACAAACCTTGCCTGGTCGTGAGGATCGTACGCCAAGACGCCAGAGCTTCCGAAAGCCGTTGCCTAATTACAGCCTCCACAGTTGACAGGGCAGAAGTCGCTAAATTGAGGGTCTGATCCCCTGGAATCAAAGCGTCCCATGGCCGCAACACTCAACATCGAGAGTCGAGATGGAGGGGTCATCATAGCTGTTGCAGTCCTGGTTCGCCTAAACCATGACTGGAAGCTGCCAGATAGGTGCCTATTCGTAGAGGCAACAAGTGATCCGCCTTGGCTTGTCTATTGATAGCTGGTTTAAGCTTAAAAGTTGGAGAGCCATAATCCCATGCTGTCTGTGGTGGTGGTCCATGTGGATGCAGTTTGGTGGCTTACATGGGTAAAGCCAACAACAAGCCCAAACCCCGAAGATAATGAACAGACTTGAGAAGTCTTTGTCTGTGATGATTTTGGTAAAGATTGTAGTTGCTGTGAACCGGCATGAAACGTTTTACTCTGCAATTATTTGGTAAACTTCGGTTCTTTGTCTGAATGAAGGAAGTATTTGCTATTCGGCCGAGTCCCACGTCGAGCAGTCACAAGTCGTCTTGTACAACCCCTCGACTCCCGCTCGAAACTCACGACATCGCTTAGTCGTGATGCCATCGTCAACAGCCTCAAAGTGCGAGAGCAATTGGACTCTTGAGTCATTGCACCCGCCTATTCAAGAAGAAGACATGATAGCTCTCGCCCAATTGAGAAAAATAATCAAAAACAAATCCACCATGGATTTCCTGGGCGAAGCTAGCAAGCCTCCCCTGCAGCGAAACCAACGATCCTCTTCTTCCACCCATCACCACCCCCAAACCATCTACCCTCGCACAATCTCCGCTGCGCCACGTAGCACAAGGATCCCCATCCGCAAACACCAAGACGATTATTCCTTCTCCCCATCTCGCTTGAGGCCGTTACCCGTCTGTGTGGGGGAAAGGAATATAAGAAGCGCCCACCATGCCTCACCCTTCGCAGCTCATCTCCCCCCCGCCTCCCGGCACCGATCCTGCTCTTCTCTACTTTGGCGGTTGGCCCGAGATCACCTACCGCACCACCCTCGAGCCCGGCGACCTCACCTCCGACCCGGACGACGAGCTTGAGCCCCTTCTCGGCCTCAGCAGTAGCGAGATCATGGCCTACGGCGATCAGCAGGGCGCCGCCGCTGGTGGTGGTACTACCGCCGGCCAGAGCAGCATTCAGAACCGCATGTGCCCCAACATGCGTACTTGCTGGGCTTTCTCCTGGGAGTCGTACAATCTGAAGACTTCTGACAAGGCTGTGCTCCTTCGACGCATCTGCATGATCATCATTCTCGGTATCAGAACCGCCATCTCCATCTTCGGCATCGTTTACGACGTTACCTACGCCCAGATCGTCAGCCTGATTCTCGACATCATCCTCGGAATCTTGGGATTCTTGTTCATTGCCTGGGCCCTTGCCGTCATTGGCCAGGCCGAGGGTCGTCGCAAGGTTTTGGGCGTCATGGTTGTGAGTACTTGTCTGAGATGAGGTGGAGCTTGGTGAGATGAGAGGACCACAGCTAATAATATTTATTTTTCCACCATAGGGCCGCTGGCACTTCGACATTTTCCTGCTCGTCACCGCCTTCATTCACGCCGCCATTCTCGTCGGCAGCATCATCGGCTTTGGCAACGGCGGCCGTTACGCTACATGGCTCATCATGTGGCTCCTCATCTTCGGCGTCGCCTGGGTCGCTACCTGGCCTGCTGAGGCTGAGAGCTACGCCTAGTCGAGCAGCATAGCATTGCCACGATGGCGTTTTCTTGAAGCGACACATTCGAAATAATTTGCCAATTGAGGAGTTACAAGTCGCGTGATGAAATTGGGCTGGATCGAAGAAGCAGAAACTTTGGGCGTTACAATGCTGGTATAGAAGGGCAAGGACGGAAGAGAGGCCCATGAAAACCGATGCTTTACTCTGGAATTCGCGATACCCTAGCATAGGTAGCTGAGACTTGCTGGATTGCGTGAGCAGTACGGCTTGGTCAGGCTGAATGAGATCAAATGAGATACCAAGTGCTTTCATGAGCCTCGTGAACGCATCGCAATGAATAACGACTGCACTGTTGTTCAGTCCGACGTATGCCTCATAGAAACGAGCTAGAGCTCCCTGGACATATGTGTGGGATGTGAGCCACGCTCATCAGACCTCGAGGTGGGTGAGATAGGACCACGTGATGCGTGTCCCCTCTTGATCGCTCTGGATGAGCCAAATCCGGGCGAGGTAAGCTTGAGGATCCCCCAAGTCTCATTGCGCAAGGTGTCTGAGTGAGGCACCTGTGATGCATCGAGTCGCTCGAATCGCTTATCATTGCGTCGATTCGCTCGCGCGGTTCCGGAGCGGGCTCCGAAGATGCTGTATTTACCGGCGGTGAAGCGGGTCTCGCCCCACGTGATGCTTGGTGGTTTCCGAGCGATGGCTTGAGTGAGTCCTGTTGCGGCAGGTGATCTCATTTGAGGAGGTGTACTGGATTTCCTCCAGTTTTTTTTATCGCTTTACTGTGAGTCTGGGGCATTTCAATCACGTCTTCTCACTCTTGCGAGAATATCGCGCCAATTGAAGCACCTGGTTGAGGTTGTTGCCAATCCAATGTGAGATCTCAGAGATTGGCGACCCATTAGACGGTCTGAGATGTCGTATAATTATCACAGGGTAAGGCTGCTGCGAATGGGGGGAATAAGCTCTTTTTAAATTCGCTCTCAGGGAGTATCGCATGCAATCGTGGAAATGAAAGACAACTTGGACAGATAGACAAACCGACCGACCCTTATTGAACCCCAAAAGAAAAAGAAGGAAAAGTCCAAGGGCTACCAAAAGAGGGCGATTGACCCCGCTCATTTGTAGCCCAGTCTCTCCAGAATAGATTGACCAGCGGGAGCGCCGCCTTGTCCCTTTCTCAGGCCGGCGTCGACACCCTTCACATAGTCGAGGACGCGGATGTGTTCCTTCTTAAGCTCCTCAAAGTCGTGGGACAGCTGCTCGTGCCATGGGTACAGGACGAAGACCTGGAAGCCGAGAGCCGACGAAGCGACCAGGAAGTTGGTGAGCGAGATGGCTCGCGTAATGAGGACCATTGTGGCGGTTTATTTGCTGTTGTCTATGTGTGTATCGAGTGTTGTTTATTCTCACTTCTTTTTTGCGAAGTGTTCGGTTTGCTCGGAATCTGGAGTCACGCGAGCCTGGTCAGCGAATGCGACTGCGACTTCGCGGGGTATCTTGGCCCGAGCAAGAGTTAGGTAGGGGGTGATCGCGGCTTACTTGATTTTATGATTCTGTAGATGTAAAAGCCTGGATCTATACGTGGCCGATCTGTCGTAAAATAAAGCGTGAAGAGAGAGGAGATTGATCTACTAGGTATTGAGGAATGAAAACGATTAAGGAAAAAAGGAAAAAGTGTGGTGTAGGAGAGGAAGTTCGACGATTGACGGCAAAGAAACGGGCAGAATTGTTATTCAAGAGGCAACCCGGGGATGATACCTGAAAGACCCTTTTGGGACAATGGGAACCTCCCCAGGTGATTACCTCACCGACAGCGGCCCGGCGGCAAGGTGGGACCCCCGATGAGCACGCTCGGACTTGGGCGGGTTGGTTGGCTCCCACGACATGGAGGAGGCACAGGGCTTGGAAAGGATCACGCCGAGGAACACGAGCAACACATATTGTTGTGGTACATCCGCCTGCCGAGTACCTTACGTGGGGGTGTTCATGTAAGTTAGTTGTAACTGTCACTTTTCTCCTCGTTCTCGTCGCTGGTCTGGGCCTTGAACATGACCTCGAATGGTGCCAACGCCAGCACCGGAAGGAGAGGAAGAACAGCAAAGCGACAGCTGGTCAGGCGTATCAAGCGTATCCGAATGCTCGGCAACCATGTCTAGGTACCGCAAAATCGCAAACGAAAGCATGTCAAGTGACGGCTGGAAGCCCCGAGAAAGGAGGGAATGATTCAAGGCGGATGGGGTCGAGGTGGCCTGACTTTTATGGAGCCCGTCTTTGCCGTCAGAACTGCCTAATGAAAACTAGAGAACTTCCCGGGGTGGAGCCGGGAGACCGAGGGTCCAAAGTGCCCAAAACCAACGGGCCTCCCCGACTGGCTTGCGGCGTCCAACGCCCTTCTCTCGCACAACGCAGTCCTGCAGCTTTTCTCCAAGGGCCCTATCCTCTAGAAAGAAACTCAGAGTGACAATGTGACCTCGAGCTCGTACCCCTGGTCCCTCGGCCTCTTTGTTTGGTTCAGCCGGGAACCATTTTGAGGATTCGATGGGGGGTTCATCGGGGCAGAAAACATGCGTCTGCAGGGGACGAATGACGCATGTGAAAGCCTTCCCGGGTGTGAACGAGCCAACTGCGACGAAAACTCACCCGCAGTGGCCACTGAAAGCAATCTCACTACTAATAAATACAAAAATTGGTTACGATAAGTCACATTGGTCGCGTTTGACTTTAACAACCTAGCAAGGTGATGAGTAATGTTTCTCTATTTCTCTATCCATTTTGTCTTAGTCGGAACGTACTTACACTGTAGAAACAGTGATGACCTGTTACTTGAGGTCGTTCTGTTGCCCAAACATATGGGTGACTCGGTGCATTTGACACCGTCTCAACCTGACACACCCTCACAGGAAAGACTGTCGGCCAAAGTAAGGCTCGACAACTAACCCGCCCGGACTGGAGATCCCCAGCGCCGCCCCCATACTCCGGCGACCTTTGAGTCGTTGAAGAATCGAATATGCTGTTTGCCCCGCAGACCGCAGGCCCGGGTCGACGCCGGTAGCGGGAGCTGGAGCGGGGCACATCAGCTCGGGCTGCCACGTGTTGGTGGAGCATTGCCTTTCCGAAAGCTGCCGATGCCGGGCCCACAGCCGTCGCTCTTTCGCTTTGGCTCTCTGCATGTCTCTCTGACAGTCGAGCGCTTTGTATTTGAATTCTATCTCTTGATGCACTAGTTCTAGATATGAAAATGAATAACTATAGACCAAACTCTTGCATCGACAACCGAAGTCTTGCCATCCGTCATGCCTTGATGACTTATGTTGAGAGCCCTTTGGATTACTGACTTCACCAACAACCTAAGTTTTCAAGGACTGCTGGTGTCAGCGCTCGACAGAGACTGAGCGGGAAATTGTGAAGCTCAACTTGAGTTTTGTCATGAACTCCAGATATGTGACGAGCATCGTTATAGAAGTTGAGTTGTGTCATCCGAAGTTAGGTTGAGGATTGTGCTTGGGGATTCAACACATGTATGAACTCAAGTACCAAGTGTTTACTACAGGCCGGCATGTGTCTGTCAATATTGATTCACAACACAGAATTCACGGTAGTAATTATAGTGTCATGAGCTTTCTCGTTCAATGTTGATGTATCAGAAGACGAAAGCATCTGAAAATCGCGCAATGATCTGGAAACAACTTTCGGAAACCCAAGTCCAGCGCGCCTTCCGCTGGATCTTATCCAACTGTCGAGATGCACTCTTTCGTGTGATTTAACATTATACGAGTTGCTTAGGAAGTTAATTAGCTCTGGCCTTCTCAGACCCTAAGCTGACTTAAGCTTGACGAGTCAACAACTGACAGCTTTCCGTCGATTTCACAAACGCAAGTGAATGTGCGCTTTTCATGCCTTTTGGTTTCCCGGAGTTCCTAAATAATAGGATAGCTGAATTAGATTGAACATGGAAATTTGACTTGCTTTGTAAATTTATGTCAACATCGACTAACTCTCCCCCTGGCGAATCGCATACTATTACGGGCTAGACCCGATTAGTAGATCCGAGCCTTAGCCCGGATACTACTACGGCTTACTACGCCGCTTTTGTAAAGGTCCGATTTAAACGCTTTTCCTTTATAAAACCTCTATAAAACCTCCGCTCTAAAAACCTCTATTCCTTAACTTAAATTCTATATATTAAAATCCTTTTAATATAGATTTATATAAGTTAGACTTTTAATATATTTAAGCTCTTCTTTTTATTTATTTTATTATTAATTATATTATATAATAAAAGTAAATATAATTATTAATATACTGCTAAGTATTTAGTTAGCGGGAGCTATAACGTAAACCTAAAAATAGATTATTTAGGGCCTATAGGAGTTAATAAAAGCCTAGAAGTAGGGCGAAATAAAAAAAATAGTAAATATAATAAAATAAAAATATAAATATAAAAAGTTTAACGAGATCCTATAGTTATTATAAAAGTAGTTTTAATAAATAAACGGACCCCCCGCGCTTTTTATTAAAAAACCCGACCTTTATAGAACCCCTATTAGCTTAGAGGCGCCCTTTAATAATAGAGCTCTTTATAAAAAACCCTTATTAAACCTAGCGAAGTTCTTAAATAATAAAGACGAATATAATATTTAAAAAGCCTAGATATATAATAAGCTCATTATTAATATACTATTTTACTATACCGATAAAGAACGGAAATACTTTATCTTTTTATACTTCGCCCCTCGGGTTTAAAAAATAATAAATTAGTTTTATTATAAAAGAGAGAAAAATAGGAAACGAGGGTTTAACGAACTCTTCGTATACTTTTTATAAATATATAGCGACCTTTATTAAACTAAAAACGCTTTTAACGAATTATTAACGATAACTATAAAAAAGGGCGAAAAGTTTATAATATTTTTATTTTAATTTAAAAAAACCTTAGTTAACGCTAAAGATTAAAAGTAACCTATAGACGTTACGATTTAATACTTTACTTATATTTTAACTTTATAATTAAAAAAATATATAATCGCTACGTTTTAAAATAAGTCGTCGTATATTAACTTCCTTTATAACGTCTAGGTAATAGTTAGTAATATAAAGGGCTACGATTTTAACTAATATAACCCCTAAATTTTAATATAAAAAGGATATTATATAATAAAAGAACGCGTTAATAGCGATAGAAATATAACTATAACTAGAACTATAAAGGTTATAAAGCCCGAGCGAGAAACAAAGCTATTAATAAAGCTAAAGACTTAGGACTATTTTAATTATAATAAAATTGGATATATTATAAAAAACTATAAATAAAAATAAAAAGCCCGCGTAGCTTAGGCAGTACCCGCAAAGTACTATATAAAGGAAGTAAATTTAAATAATAACGAATATTATTTAAAAAAAGAATAGCTCCGGTATAAAATTAGGTACCGGAGCCTATAGATAAAGAACGGATAAAATAGGAGTTATTTAATTAATAACGGATTATAAGCGGGCCTTCGGTACTATTTACTATAAAAATTAATAAAATATATAAAACTTTAACGTTAATAAACTACGGATATAATATATATTTTATAATAAACTCTTAATTAGCCCGCCGTTTTCGCTTTTTATATATAAATAGAACGAAGTATAAACTTTATAAATTTATAGATAAGTCTATCTAAACTACGATTAAAGGGGTCGTTATTTTTAACCTCGAATAGTAGCTATATAGAGAAAGTATATACGTATATCGTTAAAGGCCTAGATATAGACGTATTCTTTAAAAAACCCTAAATAGAATAGAACTACGTTATATATAATATAGCTAAACAGTAGATTTAATATAAAAAAGGCGGAATAAAAATATATTTTAATAAATAAAAAAAAGGTATTATAATATAAAAGATTTATAAAGTACGAAGCCTAAGAGCCCCCTCTTTTATTACTTTATATTATAAAGTTATTATAAAAAAAAAGCGCTAACTAAACGAGTATACTACGAGGATCTAAATAATTAGCTTTATTAATATTAATAAAGCCCTAAAGCTAAAAAGTAAAACCGACTATTTCTTTTAGCTATTATAATAAATAAAAAAGGAATATAACGACCTCTTCGAGCTATTTAAAATATACCCCTTTTTACTAGCTTAGCTAAAAATCGACTTTATAATTAACTTCGAGTAGTAATCTAATAAATAAAAAACGCCCCTCCCCTAAGGCCCCCTTTATTTTATATTTTACGAAAAGCTATTAATACTATATAATACCCTTAAAAACCTATTTAATAAAGGCTTTATTTAAATTAATAACTCCTCTATTAAAGCCCCCGTTCTTTTTATTAAAAAACTAAGGGGTAGCCTACGCTTTTATTATAATTATAAAGCGTTAAACATAATTATATAGAAAGACCGCTACCCTTTATTATTAATTAATAAAACCCTTTAAAAAGTTAGTTTAATAAAATAGTTTATAAAGCTAGACGTTATAGCGGCTTTTTATAAAATTAAAGTAGCCGAAGGGTATTAAAAAAAGACCGCTTTTTAAACGCAGTACGGCCTTTTTAAATAAATAGTTTATCTATTCGGCCTAACTAAAGCGCCCACTATATTCTAAAAATATATAAACTAGACTTTAAAAGAATTCCTCGACAACTTTACCTTTATATATATAGACGATATATTAATATATTTAAATAGATTAAAAGCGGACTATAAAA